AAGGCTGAGGTGAGTGGACTGCCTGAGCCTGTGGGTTTGAGACCCACTTGGGCAACTTGGCGAGACCTCATCTCTACAATAAATCAAAAATCAGCCGGGCGTGGTAGTGCACGCCTGTAATTCCGGCTACTCGTATGGCTGAGGCGGAAGGATCACCAGAGCCCAGTGGGTTGACGCTGCGGTGGCTGGGAGCGGCCACTGCACTCCAGTCTGGGCGACGGAGTGAAACTCCAACTCAAAAAAAAAAACAAAAGATGTGGGGTACAATCCAGGAGTAGGCATGCAAGTGGTCATCCTACTGGTAAAGTCTGGGCCTCCCTTTGGTTCCCACTTTGCCTGGTTTGAGATCAGGTACACTTATTGATATTGTGTCCCCCGCCACTGGAGTTTGGTTTCTTATTTCATTATATGTCTATAAGTAATACTGATTGACACTGAAGTGGGATATGGGAATAGTGAGGCAACTATTATAATTAGACTGTTGGACTGTTAAAATGCAGATTGATTAATGACATTTCCTTTTCTTTTTTTTTCTTGGAGTCTCACTCCGTTGCCCAGGCTGGAGTGCAATGGCACCACAGCTATTGCACCTTTGACCTGGTAGGCTCAGCTGATCCTTCTGCCTCAACTTTCCAAGTAGCTTGGAATACAGGCATGTGCCACCACACCTGGCTAATTTTTAAATTTTATTTTATTGTAGAGAGAAGGCCTCGCCATGTTTCCCAGGCTGGTCTCGAAATCTTGGGTTTAGGCAATCCTTTCGCCTCAGTCTCTCAAAGTACTAGGATTACAGGCGTGAGCCACCATGGCCGGCTGATTCGAAACATTTTCAGTCTTGCTATTAGGTCACCTTTACTTTTTTCTCTGAGCTCTGATAACTTTCCAAATAGTATTTATATCCACAGTGGCATCGACTTTTCAAGTCAGATTCATATCCAAACCTTTGGATGAAAATACAGCTTGCTAAGTTTTTAAATGCTCTCTAAAAAGAATTTAGGCAGTAATGGATCAGGCCCAAATCTCTAAGTGGATTCCTGGTAGGATTCAAATAAAGCATATAGACAACTCTGCTACCTTTCGGAGAGTAGCTTGGTCTTTATTTCCCATCAGTACAGAGTAGAAACTACTGTGAACTGTTTATGTATCTCACCTAAGATTTAAAACTTTAATCTATTTTTCCTATACCCTTATAGATGCTCTATTCAGTTGCAAATGCTTTATATTTTATAGTTCGAAATCAGTTGCTCAGCAGAGCACCTAAGCAACTGCCAGAGTGAGGACAGCTTCAAAGCTAGCCACAGTGTGACTTCTAAGCTGAATATAATCAAAGGAATTTCCTTTCATCCTATTTTCTTTCAAACTCTCAGAACTACTATCATTCCATACACAAAACAGCCAGGGTTGAAAGCTGGAGCACAGAATCAGCACAAAGGTAACTTTAAATAAGCAGTTTTCTGCTAAGGTGGACAGATTATACCTAAATACTTTCTAGCTCTGAAGATTTAGATAAAACTTAAAATGTTATCAGTAAGAGGCAAATGGGAGTCAAAGCAAAACTAATAATAAATACTAGATTGTAACTACTCTCTGAGGGCAGGCATGACCTGATCCCCAGAACCAAATGTAACACCTGGTCTACAGTAAACAAGTGGCAGCTCACTTAAGTAAATATTTGCTGAATGAACTAAACATTTTACAGGAATCTGATTCCTTAAAGGTACCTAATCGAACTTCTTTATTTTACATATGACAATACAAAACGGAGGCATGGAGATAATTTTAGCTTATCTGCTATGACATTTTTGAAGCAATGGCTTATTGGCATGTCATGTGTCACGTGTAAGGTAAAACAGCTTAAAGGTTAAGATTATGAAGCCACCGGGCTTGGTGGCTCAGCCTGTAATCCCACGCCTTTGGGAGGCTGAGGTGAGTGGATTGCCTGAGCCCGCGGGTTTGGGACCCGCCTGGGCAACTTGGCGAGATCTCACCTCTACAGTAAATCAAAAATCAGCCGGGCGTGGTAGCGCACACCTGTAATTCTGGCTACTCGTAAGGCTGAGGTGGAAGGATCGCCAGAGCCAAGCGGGTCGAGGATGCAGTGGCCAGAAGTGGCCACTGCACTCCAGTCTGGGCAACGGAGTGCGACTCCAACTCAAAAAAAAAAAGATTATGAAGCCTTTCTGTCTGGGTTCATGTAGTGGTTTTGCCACTAGTTACACCTGCTGCCTGACTGTGGACAAATCACTTAACCTTTTTGCTCCTCAGTTGTCTCATCTGTGAAATGGGAATAGAGGTTGAGTATTACTTATCTGAAATGCTTGGGACCAGAAGTGATTTGGATTCTGGAGTTTTTTCAGATTGCATTATACTTAATGGTTAAATCTCCCTACTCTGAAAATCCGAAATTCAAAATGCTCCACTGAGCATTTACTTTAACAATTATATTGTGCTCAAAAAGTTTCCCATTTTGAAGCATTTCATATTTCCAGATTTGGGATACTCAACCGGTAATAACAGTAGCTATCTCATACAGGTGATATGAAGATTAGCTTAGTTAACATGTAAAGCATCTGGAATAGTTATAGGCATAGTAAACTTTTTTTTTTTAAAAGTAGAGATGGAGCCGGGCTCAGTGGCTCAGCCTGTAATCCCGCGCCTTTGAGAGGCTGAGGTGAGTGGATTGCCTGAGCCCACGGGTTCGAGACCTGCCTGGGTAGGCGAGACCCCATCTCTACAATAAATCAAAAAATTAGCCAGGCATGGTAGTGCGCACCTGTAATTCTGGCTACTCGGAAGGCTGAGGCGGAAGCATGGCCGGAGCCCAGCAGGTCGAGGCTGCGGGGGCCAGGAGCGGCCACTGATCTCCAGTCAGGGCGACAAAGTGAGACTCCAACTCAAAAAAAAAAAAAAAAAAAATAGAGATGGGGGGGAGCAGTCTCACTATGTTGCCCATATTGGTCTTGAACTCCTGGCCTCAAGTGATCCTCCCATTCAACCTCCCATTTATTAAATATTTACTGTGGCTGGGTATAAGTGGCTCACACCTGTGAGCCAC